GAGAAAGGAAAAATCAAGTGATAGCAAAGCTCTTTCAGTGCAAATCTCTAAGAAGCCCCATGTTTCAGAAAAAAAAGAAAGAGAAACAGCAGCAAAAGCCCAGTCACTGATGCAGAAAGCCCAGTTAACTGACTTACAATACTCTTTCTTAGTCACAAGGCATGTGTTTCAGCGTACTTGATGAGTGAACATGAACGCATGATTCAACATGAGGGAGTCCAAAAAGAAAACAAGGGAGGGGACAACAGAGGGGTACCCGGAAACAATGAGCCCAACAGAAAGTAAAACTGAAAAAAAAAAAGAAAGAAATAAAACGCTGCCACAGTGTCCAGAGTCCCAATACCCAGTGGGACAGTTCGTCTAATAAAAGACCTTAATTATGAAAATGAAGAACACAATGGCGCTCTTGCAGTCTTCTGGCCCAAATAAAAGCTCATATTTCAATCCAACTGTGTTTCGAACAATCAGCACTTAGAGCAAAAACATGTCCCAGGCAAAAAATAAATTCTCTCTCTGGTCACAATGTTGTGAATACTTTACAACAGTATTCATACAGGTATGTTTAGAGGAGTCCTTCAGAGGGCCACAGGCACACACAAACCTCCCTCGCCTGCACGTGCGCCTGCTGTGGCAAGTGTGCATGTTGTGGCGCCCAGGTGACACATCAGCGTCCAGAAGCATTTTAGCCCTGTATTATAATCCATCACACCCCTCTTTGTTTGAAGCAGACAGAGAACAATGCAGTGTATCTGGAATTGCTGTGCTTTCTTCTTATATCCCACTAGCAGGCCGGAAGTTGCACCTTGAGGAAAAAGCGAAAACTCAGATCAGAAGACAGCAGTGCTAACTGACACTGATAAAATTCAATATCACAATATTACCCAAGTACATCACACAATCAGATGAGATTTAAGTTTATATTAACAAACCCAATGAGCCCATGCTTCCTGAGGGGTGGTAGTCTATGCTAAGAACGACGCATGACATAGCTTGCTTTGATTGGACTGTCTTGTTCTGCTATCTTCTCTTAAAATTACACCAAGATGATCTTTACATAGTATTGGAAAAATTAACCAGACGGAAAGCACCTTTTCATAGAGGATATTTGTTACTTTTTTTGTTTTTACTTTTACATTGTAGTACCATGAGTACCATGAGTAAAGCTCACAAAAACAGAACCAAAAAATAAAAAAATGCTTTGCAACAGGAACACCACTATTTTTATATCATGGATTTAATTAGGCCTGGGCAAAAATATAACATAATGATACTTAAATACATTTTTATAATTACAATAATTTTCCATAAATTGAGGTCCAGGACTAGTTTTTTGGACATAAAGACCAGAATATCATTGCTGGCAGAACAAAACCTTCCCTGGTAATTTTATAGCATAACAAAAAAAAACTTCTTAACTTATAATGGTGGTCAATGTAACCATTTTTACAAACCACAAATTTCCAAGCACACTTATTGTAAAGTCTTAAAACACTGCAAAGGGTAAGTGGAGCTGACAAATGGTGCAAAAAAGATATGAATGAGGCTTGAAAGCTAAACGTAGAGTGTCATACCGCCAGTCAGCTGTGGTTGTGTTGTCATGTTCACAACATATTGGTGTTTGATTGCTTCCAATTGCTCTAATTAATCTATGAGCAACTCGCAAGCTCTGTGTTATTAGGTTAAACTCCTCCACTTAAAACTTGTTCAGACAACATTGTCGCCAACGTAGGCTATAGATAAAATTGCAGCTTATAAAAAAAATGTACTCATATCTATGGGATATAGAAATGTATTTGGTTCTTCTGAGGTTTGATAAGCTAGAACACACAAGAGTGCCAATAATATAGTCTCAAAAACTATGAGTACAATGATATTTAATGTTTCGAATACAGCACTGCACTAAACCCACTTAACCTTTTAAACTCCTTGGAACCACCGGTGGTTCCAAAACGCACTTTGTCATATTCTTCATAACTTTCATATTCATAGGCTTCATTCAAAAAGTGGGTGTCGCATGAGAGCTGCAACTGTCTACTTTCCAGTCAAATAGATGGGTAACGTAATTTTACTCCTATAATTTTACTCCTATAATGTCTCTTAAGTGATATACTCTGAAAAAATATTTTTATACAAAAATATAAAGAGCGTCTAAGATTTATGGCTTTCAGCAGTAAATTGTAAGCATATAGCAATATGTGTATGATCATAAAACACATTTTCTGTTAATTTGAGGGGAACTTTTACAAAAAATAAATAAATAAATAAAATACAAATTACACCTATTTCATGCAGTTACTGAATTATTTGCTTTATGATTTGGTCATGTAAATTCTGATGGAAAAACCAAAATATACGAGCATATTAAACAGGTCTAATTATGTGCTTTTTGTGATGAAGCATGCAGTTGGTCAGTGTTCTTTAGGTACTCATGATATCCATGATATGCTCAGAAAAGTAATGTCATACTTTTTCACGACAACAATCAATACTGTCATACTGCCCATCCCTAGATATGACACTCATGATCTACAAAATATATACCTAAAACTGAAAAGCATCGATGCAGTTGTACTGTTATGGTCCATACTTTACCTAGCTCTGGAAGACCTCAAGGCATCATCAACAGTTGGCTCTTAAACTCAGCTTAACTCGTGCCTCACTGACTTGAACTGTAAAGGTCCAATCCACAATAACATTGTGTGCTTGTCTTACTCCAACAGACACATTCCACCTCTAATGTGAGAGTGTGGGAGCACACAGCCCTTCTGTGCGGTGTGTGTACAAAACATGTTGAAACTTGATCATTCTCATTCTTCCTGGTGTCACATCTGAGTCACCAGGAAAAGGGTGTGCCTATCTTACACTTTCTCCGTGCTCTTATCTCTTTAGATGCCACTGCTAACCTCATAGCTCAGTCTAATTTGATCTTTTGTTCCTGTATTGTGTTGTCACTGTGATCATGAGAAGAATATGCCCTTTAATTCAAAATGCACACATAATGTTATACATCTAGTACAGAAAAGGGCTGGGCAATATAACAATATGGATTATTATTGTGATAAATTATGTCACAACATGCTTTTGTGATCATATCGTGGATGTTGTCAGTCTATCCCAACTGCATGTTTGATTACAAAGAAAGCATTATTAGTTCTGTTCAATTGGATTTAGTGCAGCCCAGTATGTGAAATGTTGAACATAATTCATTCAGTTTTTCACAGTGTATTTTTAAATGTAGCACTGCTTTGTCTGTTGTAATTTATTAGATGTTAGAAAAAAATATAGAACCAATTTAACAAATTGTGTATCGTGAAACCTTACATTACTGTGATATTACACTTTTGCCATATCACCCATCTCTATACACATTTTCTCATTCATCACCACCTGAGATCTGAACCAAAGTGAAACTATAATACACCTCGTTACCAACTGCCTCGGGCATTATCGCCCATCTCGATACCATTTCGTCTGACTCACAACACAATCAGCTGTAATTATGACAACGAACCTCAATGATATGTAGGTTAACACTATGACAAACTGTGATGGCATAAAAACTCTCGTCCTTTCGTCTTGCCTAGTTAACTGACCATCTACAAACGGTGGTGCAGGGGCTAGCCACCTAACTTATGTAAACTTATGTAAAAGCCTTACAAATGCCTGTCAGATCCTGAGATACATTAAGTCAAAACGTATACAAACGCAGTCTTACAGGAGCGATTCAGATTAGGTAGCCTTACCTTAAATTTACTCTGATAGTTCATGATTACGAGGCTGAAGTTGGCTTCCTATTCGCCAACTTCTTGTTCGAATTTCCCCGTTCCACCTTAAATGGTGCAGCAGCTCGATGCGCCAGAATGTAACTGCTGTGTAACTGCTGCACCATTTAAGGTGGAACAGGAAAATTGTAACAAACAGCTGGCGAATCATGAGCCAACCTCAGCCTCGTTAATGACTGTTGGCTAGTTAGTTAACGCTAGCTAATGCCCCAGTCGCAAAGTATCTCCAGAGAACCTCCAATAAAGTAATTTAACGTGATGGAGCTCCTTCATACTTCGCCAAAAGCCCAAAGGACTGGTTTACACATTGTCAAATATCTTTGTTGACAGAGAAAGACTCGGAAAAGTTTGACGGCACACGTCAAAACAGAAACAGAAACGGCCCACAAACAGTTCGGCTAACTTAACGTTGGCTAGGCTAAGCAACTCAAAGTTGACTCAAATTACTAGTTGCTGCTTGGTAGGTAGAATTTGTCTGCCCTGAACTTTTTCTGGAAAGGAACAAAGAGACATAAATGCTGCAATAAGCTTTGGAAAATGACTTACAGAGGTGTCCTAGTCGGAGAGCTCGATGCTAACGCTAGCTAGAGTTATCTCGGCTAGGCCGACCTGCTGGTACTCTGGATTTAGCTCAGCTAGCCACTACGAGAGGGAGGCAGAGGGACGGGCGGTTAAAATCCTCTTGTTTATGCTCCTTCCCGCAAGCTAAAAATAGGTTAGCCGTGTAGTATGTAGGAACAACCGACTTACTTTCTTGTTTATCTAGCACGTCGTGTGCCAAAATGAGCATTTTCGTTAATGTGGGTTAGCTTAACGGTTGTCTTCCTAACGCTGCGGTGCCCACAGTTCATATTTCTTGCTGGCGAGCGAGCTTTAATGCAGCACTCTGTAATCTTTATTTAGCTGGCTTAAAGAGTGGTAACGCTACTATTCCTGCACTTTGCTGTTATTTTAAAATGTAAAATAGGCATGAGTTAAATGCCGTAGTTACCTGATTCTACTGTAGCCTGATTCCTGTGTCCAACTGTACTGAGATGCTCTGATGGGCTCCCCCTACAAACCAACACTAACTCTAACTTGACTTTGATTCAGGTATGACACGAGGAGACCGAGGATTTCGAAAGACTGCTGCCCTCATGGGATGTTCTATTAATGCACGAAAGCAAATGAACCTTAATGAAAAATTAACATTAAAAAGATTACACTGACAGAGTTCAGTTTATTATAAATTCATAACAGTGTTTATTTTAACACAAAAGATGCAAAAATCTATGGAATCCCGTGAAAAATAGATAGCCATTTAGTAAGTCATAATAATGAGAAAGTTTTCCATAATTATGAGACAGAATGTCATTATTACGAGATAGCAAGTCACGATAATTAGACGCCATGTCATAATTATGAGATACTAAGTCATAATTATGGAAAACCTTCTAATAAGTATCTCATAATAATGAGAAAGCTTCTCATAATTATGAGAAACTGTGACAATGTAAATTATGAGAAAGTCAGTCGTAATTACAAGATTCCGAGTAATAATTATGACATCATTATAATAAAATGCTGTCATAGTTATGAGATATTAAGTCATAATTATGAGTTTGAATCGCATTATTATGACATACTAAGCCATGAGACAATAATACATAATTGAGATTGTAAGTTATAATTACGTCACAGTAAGTACTGATATGATTCATAATTATGAGATGCTTATGAGACAGCAAATCAAAATTACAACTAAATGGCTACAGATTTTTTCCAGTGGCGGATACAGGCTTTCATAAATATCACATTGTTGTAATAAAAGTTTCTCTATCAAAATAAGTTTAAAATAAAAAACTCCTTTGGAGAACAAAACAGAAGTCCCAAAAGCTCTGAACAGATTATTTGACCTCCTGTGGACCCAGCACAACTGTCCTCCCCTAAGTAATCCCTCCCTTCTTGTCAGTCTTCTATTTGAGGTCAATGAAGCGAATGTCCATGATGAGCAGAGTGTGCCGTGGCAGCGGCCTTGGAGCGGGCGACAGCACAGTCATCACTTGCGCCTGAGTGTCCACAGCTGTAACCACGATGAACCCACACACTGGGCTCTCCAGAATACCCCTACTGCGGCCCGGGCCTCCTTCCACCTCATCCTCCACACAGCTGACGCTGAGCACGTGATGGGTCAAGTCCCGGCCAGGGCTCACTGGCACTAGCTTCAGCTGGGTGTCATCCTGGGACATGCCCAACGGCAGGCATGAGTCCGGGATGGAGGGTGCCCCAATCTTGTAAATACGTACGTCTGAAAAGCGCACATCGAAGGCATGTGGGTAGAAGGAGACCCCACGGAAGCCATAGAAATATTCACGGATCTTTCTCGTCGCGTGTCTCTCGCCTGCAGTCCTTGGAACGCTCTACCACGCCGCCGGATTTGGGGAGGAGGACGACACGGACAAAGTGTGGCAGATCACGTTTGAGCTCGTTGTACAGGCGCTCCTGATCTAACACCAGAACCACGTCCACCTGGAAGGCCGAAGCGCAGTGGACCAATGCCTGGTAGCCAGAGCCCTTCACCCAGCCACAGGTGTTGATGATGCAACCTCCTACACTTGCCCTGCGATTCACCTCACAGCGCTGGGAGAACACCTCGGCCAGACATGATGTCAACTGCATGTGCATACCAAGACAGGTGAAACGGGTATTAGAAAAGAAACAGAATGGTCATTCAAAATGTCTGGCCTAAACTTAGCAATTGATAACTACTATAACTGTACAGAAGCCCTGAAAAGGCAAGGATTCATATATTTTATTTACTCAAGTCAAGTCAAAGTTTATTTATATAGCGCTTTTTACAACAGGTGTTGTCACAAAGCAGCTTTACAGAAAAATCCAGGTCTGAGCCCCCATGAGCGTCGCCAATGGCGACAGTGGCAAGGAAAAACTCCCTAAGAGCAAGAGGAAGAAACCTTAAGAGGAACCAAGACTCAAAAGGGGAACCCATCCTCTTCTGGTCGACACCGGATAGCAAACAGCATTAGTATAAAATATTAGAATACTCCACAATAATTATTTTGTTATACTGAAAAAACTAGGTTTAGTGTTTCATAAGATCTCATCATTTTGAAAAAAGAACACCTGTTATGGTGGAATAATAACAAGTAATTCAGAACTTTGAGAAAACAAATAAAGGGCTTCTGTACAAATGACACTAAACTTTCATCATGATTTATGATTTTCAATGAACTCCTTCAGATAAACAGGTCCATATATTACCACAGAGATAAAGAAATTATGTGAACCTAGATGTGTGAAATTTAGCATTGAGTGGCTTTGTTTTCACCTTGTTATAGAGTTTGATGTTGGTCCCTGGTGTGGTGGAGCCAAAGTGGAAGACAAGGGGGGCCTGCACAGAAAAGCCTTCCTCTACATCTGCTGGACGCTCAATGCACAGCGCTGACATAGTCCCAGGAACAGACACCTGAACACATCATCATTAAACTTTCATCATTTCATCAGTCATCATTTGACTTTTTTCAGCTGATTAACTACAGATACAACTGCAATCATTGTCACAATAACTGCTTGTAAATGACTGGAGAGAGTTTGTAAATCATATTGTCTTACACTGCTTTGGCCAACATCCAACTCCACCAGCGTGGGCCTCCTGCCCAGCCTCACAGCGTAGTTTAACAACAGCCGACACACTGTGGACTTCCCTACATCTGTTGGACCGACCACCATGACCTGTATGGATACAGAAACAGAAAGTCAAGGATAAACAGATCTTAGTCACTACATACATGTCTATCACATGACCTGGCTTTCAAAGACACTATGTAATAATGCTTTTCCACAGGACACTGCAGTATGGCACGGTATGGTTATTAATTTAAACCCCGAACTATCCAAATCCAGGTTGAGCACCTGTGTTTTTCTCCCATTTCATAACAGTACTTGACGGGGTTCTCTGGAGCTTGTGGTGGTGACATGGCTAATAATAACACTAAACAAAAAAGCAGCAGCAACAAAGGAGGAGCTTCCGATTTACTTTCTAATCAACGTTTAGTTTTATGCAAAGAGACCACAGACAGTGATTCTGCTGCAGCTAGGTTTTTTTAGAGATGTTGAATGTGTGACTCTAGTCAGGGAGTCTGGAGCATTTTGTTGCTTAATATGGCAAAAAAAAACACCTCATTCAGCAGGAATGGGGCATCTGATGAACATGCAAAATAACCAATCACAGACCACTGTTTTGTGTGAGTTTTAAATGCAGGTCATTTTAAAAACAGGGCTACAGCAAAAACACACCCACAGAAAACAAAGTGGTATGTGTTGGAAAACACACAAAAATATCTTGCTTACTATGTTCCAAATCAGGGATGTCCAAACCTTTTTTCAAAGAGGGCCAGATTGTACTGTGTTAAAATACCTGAGGGCCGACATATTATTCACAAATGATTCAAAATATTAAGTTTTAAAAATATCAGCACGTAGAATCTGAGCTTTCAGTGAGCTACTTTGTTTCCCATCACTGTATAAAAGATGCACAAGGCTTCTTTTATTGTCGGATTGTTTGTTAGAACAGTTTGGATGGATAAGCGCTTATAATAAATAATTACATTGTTCAAGAGTAACAATACATCATGTCTAATGTATTAACCATATTCCCATTAAAATGATTTTTATTTGTTGAAAGACATAATTTGTGAGACTAAACAAAAATCTTTGAATTTTTGTTTTTGTTAGGTAATTCTTTACATATCAAATAAACGCTGCGTAGCCACGTTTTGTTCGAACTTAAAAGGTTAATATTTACTGAAATACTGAATTTGCTCTGATAAGAAGTTTTCCATCTCGCCATCAGCAGTTTTCAGTGTTTAGTTTGAGCTTTATGTCTGTAGTCTTGACTAAATGTTTGCAAAACTGTGTTTCCCCTCTGTTTTCCATCAGAGAGATTAAAACTAGTCACAGCAGTGCGTACACACGGACATACAGATAACCAGTAATAAATGCTATTGACAAAATCCTGATAGTTGTGGTCAGCTTAGCATGCATCAGATAATAGACAGTCTGTTACCTCTGTGGCCAGAGCATCTGAAGCTGAGACTACAATTCTGTGACAACTGCATTTAACCAATAAATGATTTGCTCTATTTCTAGCTCCACACATACACCCTGGATGGATATGCTTGGTACCCTGGCCAAGAAGAGTAGCCAAATTCAGTAGAGGTACTCAGTATGGTACGAGTCACTTGGTAATGGAAATGATAACAAAACTCGTGGTCACAGATTTAGAACCATACCGTGCTATACCACCGTCTCCAATGAAAAAGTGCCATAGGAGGAGTGGTGTGTGTGGTACAGTAACCTACCCGTGGTCCCCTCTCATTGTCTCTCTCAGCTTGTCGTCTCATTTGCTCCAGGGCAGCATGTGTGTTCAGGTACAACAGCATAGGTGTGTCTTTGGAGACATACGCCACCTACAGACAGTAAGATGCAGATACGAACGGCCATCAGTGATAATGATATTATATATAATTAATTATTAGTTTATTGTGCTAGCGGTTTTGTCTTATGTTCAAAATTAATGACAATTTGTTTCATGGCATAAATAGTTGATAAGATGATTTAGGTGGCCCAAGAGTAGGATGTTGTTTAGGCAGAGGTGGGTAGTAAAGTACAGTTACTCAGATCCACGTGCTTTTTACTCAGTTATATTTTAGTCAATAACATTTAGTCAATTCTTTTTTTTGTGTGTGTAATTTTTATATGTTACACTGGTGACAGCACTTGTACTGCTTTATGATTCACACCTCTGGCTTTTAAGGTTTATCACTGGACCAAAAGTGTATAAAAAAAAGAGAAGAATCTAACAAATGTCAGATTTTATGGTCATACACTGGTCATACTGTTATTCAGTAGTTATGTATTTTTTGACCTGGTACTTTTGTATTTCTTTTAAAGCTGTGTTTAGTTATTGTACTTGTCCTAAAGACATTTTTGCTGAAGTAACAATACTTTATTTTAGTATGGGTTTACACTACTGTACCCACCTCCGCACTTAGAGACCCCAAATCCTCAGAAATGGCCAAATATGTCCAAATGTTTGTAAATACCTAATCAACAATGGGTTACCCTTAAAGTAGCTGAATTCACCAAGTACAATGGCTATCTGGATACCTTTAGACATAGACTCATTATCCTCACCTCAGTTTTTCCTGAGAGCGACAGACTGCAGCCCTGCCAGGTGAACACGGCGATCTTAGAGCCTGGCCCAAAAGTGTACTTCTTGTTTCTATTCAGTTCTGAGCCGAAAACCTCAGCCATGCCGTTCAAGAGCTCCAGCTGGACCCGCTCTCCAGCCTCCACCTCAAAGCGGAGCTCAGTCTCCTTATCCAGGTCGAAACGTGTCCCTCCACTTCCAGCACCTCCGACAGTGGTCCCTCCCTCCTCACCTGGTTTCTCGGTCGCCTCTGTGCTCATGGCTGTAAAGACAGAGACATAACAGTACAAAACCATGTCTGTGTTAACTAACTGGACAGGCTTACATATATAAAGAATTTTGCTGTCAGTGTACAAACACACAAGGCATATATTCCCAGCAGAACACTCGAAGTCCACCATGCTGAATAGTAAACACAGAGACAAAAAGGGGAGCAAAATAAAAGCAAATAAATGGATAAATATAATAAAAAAGACAGCTTAATGAGGGACGTTGTCAATCAAAAAAGTGGTCAATTAAAGTTAACATTTCAGCTTTCTTGTTTTTCACACTTTTAGAGACTTATACAACAAATGAAGATCCATCTTCCATATATTTGGTTGAAGAATCACCCTATAGAGCACACTGAAAATATACATGTGTCAATCAAAATATTTACTAGAAATTCAATAATTTTCTCTTTCAAGAATAGGCTGCCCTTCTCAGACATTTCATCAACTGGCACATTGTCTGAAGAGCTCCACTTCCACCTGATCATACACTTTTAAAACTCGAAGTGAAATCACAGCCACATGAATCCATGAGCACTGTTTATATTGTGAGATGTAACAAAGCTGAAGTCAGTTTCTCATTCGCCAGCTTCTTGTTCAATTTCTTCCGTTCCACCTTAAATGGTGCAGTAGTTACACTCTGGCGTGAGGCACTATTTAAGGTGGGCAAGGAAAACGAGAACAAAAAGCTGGCGAATGGGAGGCCAACTTCAGGCTTGTTAAAATGTAAAAGCACGAGAAAAAGTATGAGGCTGCGCTCAGGTGATTTAGTACTAGATAAGTAAATCGCTTTAGGTTTTGTGGGTGAAAGTAACGTTTACACAGACATTTACAGCTGAAAGCCAACTCGACTCTAAAAGACCGTTAACGTTAAACAGCTGCCTGTTTTATTCTACTGTCTGGACTTTCATTCCTTCGCGGAAGCCTCGTTTAAGACGAAATGTGGCTTCTTTAGCACCTACATGTGTTTGAATCCTGGTAAACAGCACCATGTTGTGTTTTCAGGCCTTACTTTTTCCAAAGGTAAAATCTCCAAACGCGGATCGATGTTTTCACTCAGCCACCAGCGTCGGGCCACTCGGGCGCGCGCCGATGACGTCAGAGAACAGTGCACGAGGTCTCAAATGGAAATGGACTTTCCCCCAAATAACCGGACATTAGTTTAAAACTTTAAAACGAATTATATAACATTTATATTAAATAAGATACATTCTCAAATTTCTTTAAAAATATCGATTCACAGACAGACAGCACTTGGCTACATCCTTTACAATGAACAATAAGCAAAGGAGTGCATTCCTAAAACATCTGGACTTTTGCCATGTACAGTTGTTTTGAATGGCCCTGTATTTTACTCTTATGGCGATGATGATAATGATGATGATGATTATGATTATTCCTATTTCTTTTAAGTATTGTTGGCATATGTGTAGAATTTTAGCTTGTATATGTGTAGTTTTTTTATTTTTATTTTGCTGTTGGATTTTTAATTTACCAATTTTGATGTATATTGTGACTATTTTGAATCACTGCATAAATACAGAAAAAATACTAAAACCTGCAGAAAAATGCATGCACCTTTAAAAAAGTTATAACTAAAAGTACAGTTTTATCTAGATCAATGCACTACAAGCACAGTGACTGCCTCGCCCCAGCCCCGCCTCCCATGACCTCCAAAACCCCAAACCTTCACACACCAAATCTTTTTTAAACATTAGGCTTTCTATTTCATTTAAATGAAATAAGAAGCCTATCCTGACTTCAGATAATCTAACGCTTTCAGAACTTTGGGCCTCATTCACCAATATCTTCCTAAGTTTTTTCTTAAATGTGTTCTTGAGAAAGGTCCTAAGAAAAAATCTACGTCAGATTCATGATGGGTTAAACCATGGGATCTTAAACCGTGGGATTGTTCACAGCTTTGTGCTTTTGAGTGTGCAGATTCTGTTCTTACCTAGTAACAAATCCCAGAATATAAGAAAACATTGGTAGATGTCAGAAAAAAAGTTCTTTTATTAAGAACGGTAGGCAAAAGGGGCCCAATGTTTATTTTTAATTATTGATTGTATGTACATACACCGGTCAGGCATGACATTATGACCACCTCCTTGTTTCTACGCTTATTGTCCATTTTATCAGCTCCACTTACAATATAGGTGCACTTTGTAGTTATACAGTTACAGACTGTAGTCCATCTGTTTCTCTGCATACTTTTACCTTGTTCTTCAGTGGTCAGGACCCCATGAACCACTACAGAGCAGGTACTATTTGGGTGGTGGATCATTCTCAGCACTGCAGTAACACTTATGCGGTGGTGGTGTGTTAGTGTGTGTTGCGCTGGTCTGAGTGGATCAGACACAGCAGTGCTGCTGGAGTTTTTAAACACCTCATTGTCACTGCTGGACTGAGAATAGTCCACCAACCAAAAATATCCAGACAACAACGTCCTGTGGGCAGCGTCCTGTGACCACTGATGAAGGACTAGAGGATGACCAACACAAACTGTACAGCAGCAGATGAGCTATCATCTCTGACTTTACATCTACAAGGTGGACCAACAAGGTAGGAGTGTCTAATAGAGTGGGCAGGGTTTAAAAACTCCAGCAGCACTGCTGTGTCTGATCCACTCGTACCAGCACAACACACACTAATACACCTCCACCATGTCAGTGTTACTGCAGTGCTGAGAATGATCCACCACCCAAATAGTACCTGCTCTGTGAGGGTCCATGGGGGTCCTGACCACTGAAGAACAGGGTAAAAGGGGGCTAACAAAGTATGCACAGAAACAGATGGACTACAGTCTGTAATTGTAGAACTAGAAAGTGCACCTATATAGTAAGTGGAGCTGATAAAATGGACAATGAGCGTAGAAACACAGAGGTGGTCATAATGTTATGCCTGATCGGTGTATGTCTACACTAACATACTCAGTTTCAGACGAACAAAGTGAAGGACCCAGGCTGAGCTAAAACCCATGACCCCAGAAACGAAGGGCGCATCCACTTCACTCCTTGGATACTGACAGCTTGGCAGCTCCCCGTCACCCCATAGAGCAACCAGTCCAGGTGACGAGCCTGTAGAGTCGAAATCCAGCTCTTCTCATTGAATTATCCCATTGGTCCATGAGTGGTTTTGAACGCGATCCAGCATGGAGTAACCCCAAAGTCATTGGATTTTATTTCAGCTGTCACGTCTTGTTTTCTGCGTGTTTGTTTATTAATACTTCATTTCATATCAGGACTGGACTGGAAACTAACCACCCAGATGCCATAGTTACAGTGAGTGGACGCTTATTTTAAAATACATAATATTTTTTCCCTCTGTTTGTAAATTAAATAAAGTAGCTGTTCTAACTTCTGATAATCTAAAGCTTTGAGAAGTGTGTTTTTTATTAACTATTAATGAAAAGATAAATCAAGTCATAACATACACCACAAAAGGAGACAAATCTGAAGTACAAATATAGTAGCTTTATTCTCATCAAGAACATATAACAGTCCTGTTAGATGGTAAGATGCATTCGTAACCCCAACATCATACAGATCCTGAGTGCTGTGCAGGATGAAGCGGGATCTCATTTAGCCAGATAACTTGAGCCACTGTTCAATAGGAGGAGAGCTAATGGATGTTCCCAGTAGCTGTATCATTTTGGCCCAAGTCATCCAGCTAAGAGACATCTTGCTTGTGAAATACACAAAAAATTCACCAAGAAATAATGATGTATAAGTCTACTCAAGGCTACTCAACCACAGCTATAACAGTAAAACCACAGTTAAAGTCAGAACAGATCAGAACTAAAGTAAGTTTGTGAACTCAAGAGGTAAGCAGAGATCATAAGGAGGCTGCAACAATCCAGGTCAGGATGCCAAGCAAGTCATCAGAGAACAGACTGGAAGTCGCCCATTTGGTCCATCCTCGTCATTATGCATCCACAAAACCAAAGATGATTGACTGAAAAGGAATATTGACTTATTAATACACCCCCATTTCCAAAAAAGTTGGGACACTGTCCAGAATGTAAATAAAAATAGAATGTAACAGTATGCAAATCATGTTAACCATATTTTTAAAGTATATATTATGAAATAAAAAACATGACAAAGGAGACCCTGAACTGTTGAGCAGCTGAAATCCTATATGACATAAGAACAGGAAAACATTTCACTTTCAAAACTACAGCAGTGTCTTCTTAGTTCCCAAACACTTACAGAGTGTTGTTAAAAGAAGAGGTGATGAAACACAGTGGTAAACATGCCCCTGTCACAACTTTTTTGGAGCGTGTTGTTGGCATCAAATTCAAAATGGGCATATATTTCAAAAAACAATAAAATTGCAACATTTGATATGTTGTCTTTGTACCATTTTCAGTGAAATGTAGGATTTAAATGATTTGCACTTTTGTTTTTATTTACATTTTGCCCAGCGTCCCAACTTTTTTGGAAATCGGGTTGTAAATAAAAAGGTAAAAATGACTTACTGCACATTTCCATTTATGTACCAATTCCATATCTACAATATGCAATTTAGATTTTGGAAATTGTAAACATACCTGTCTCCTCAAAAATCTCTACTTGCTCTTTAGGGCATCATCTAGGGCAGTCACGACCTCCGCAGGATCCGGAAACTTCAGTTTACGGGGAGGACCCTTCTTGATGCCGGTCCACAGGACCACCTCTGCCACGGAGAAAACAAAAGAGAAAAACTGTGGTTGCTCACACTGTTTTTAGTTATGCAACATAGTATTATCTACACAAGTGAAAAGTATGTCATACAGCATCAGAAATCACATAAGTAAGTCTATTTGAGATGACTTAGTAATTTGAGGCAAGTGTGTGATGATTTAGGCAGGCAGTTTGCACAAAGCTAAACAACTGGCTGTTACTTCTTATCGACATTAGCCTTGTAAGCCTCAGTTCAAAAGGGCACAAATCACATTTTGGAAACCAAATGTGCCTTGACGGTCAACTACATTTGGGGTCTTTCCAATGCATAGCTGGCTAACCCTCCACCTGGAATATGGTCCAGTTAGTCAAGGCCTTCAGTACCAAAACTCTACTAAAAATGCCAAAGTGTAGTATGGAAGTACACCATTTTAGAAACAGCTATGGTTTTATGTTCAATTGTGCCATTACCTTTGCCTCCCTCCACCAGTGTCACCTCAAAGCTGTTCCGGCGAGGCTTCTGGGGGTTGAGCACCACACGCAGCTCTGGCTGCGCAGCCAGGAGAGCCTCGCGGACCAGGTCAGCATTCCGACCATACACACGTCAGCTTTTACTGAAAGCCAAAAACACATATCACAATGGAGTGAATACAGACATCTTGTTTGACAGCTGTATACCTGTATACATTTCCCACTTTATACTGTCAAGTGAATTATCATGCTACACGTATAAAGGTGCTACGTAGACAGAGAACAGATTCTGGCATTCTGACCAGTGTTCGATGACCACCCTTTGGCCTTGATCATCCTCGTCAAGTTGGGCCTCTTCTTTTTTATTCTTCTTTTCCTCTGGTTCTGCCTCCACAACCGCATCCACCTTGCGCTTTCCCCCACGACCTACATACCATGGCATTAAATAAAGTAATTTAATTTGAATTATGAGTACATGAACAAAATACATGGTACAGTCTTACAAAAGGGTGGTTCTTCAAGGATTCTTTAGTAAAGAAAAAGGTTATATATAGAATCATGAACATTCAAAAAACACTTTGTATGATTAAAGGTTTCTTCAGCTTGATGGAGAATGTCCAGTAGATGGTTCTACATAGAACCTTTTGGAAAGGGTTCTATATAGCACCTAAGAGGATTGTGATATTGTACACTCTCAAAAAGACGGTTCTTCAAGGGTTCTTTAGCAAAGAAAATGGTTATATATAGAACCATGAACACTCAAAGAACCCTCTGCACAATTAAATGGTTCTTTGCATCATAAAAGCGTTCAAGAGTGATGGAGAATGTGCTGCAGATGGTTATATATAGAACCCTTTTTGACAAGGGTTCTGTATAGCACCAAAAAGGGTTCCACTATTGTTACAAGCTTAATAGATTATACAGAATATAAGTGCTGCACCATTTAAGGTGGAACGGGAAAATTCGAGCAAGAATCTGGTGAACAGGAAGCGAAGTTTAGCCTCGTTACTATTACAGCCCTGCACGTGTGAGACCAGTGTAAAGCTTCGTTTAGCACACAACCTTAAACTCAGCATTTAAAGCCTCACAGTTCGCAGACAGAAGGTAAACAACTAACCTGCTTTGGGGCGCGGTGCCATTCTAGAACGCTGCTGTAGTTTTCGCGCGCACTGTGCAAGAACGCTGGAACTGCTCTTTTTAAACGACTCTTTAAGTGAATCAGAATGAACGAATGAATCAGATGAACACTGAGACTATGGGAGTCTTTTGGCATTTATCATTATTGTGATGTGCAATTTTCTCTGGCGGTCTATGTATGTGTGCTTATATTGTAATTGAACAATAAAGAAAGAAGGGATCAAAGGTGTTTTTTTACGAACAAACGAAAAGAATCGGTTCGATAAACTGAACTGAACCTCCCATCACTATGCAGAGGGGAGTTTTTTCATCGCCACCCAACGGGGAGGAGGTAGGACAGCACTGACTCCACAAATCCCTTTAAAAAACACCTGTACTTCATAAAGCAACCCAGATTCAGGAGATAACACCTTGTTTTTCATTCTGGAACATTTCAAAGGCACTTTACCGTTACTTGACCCTACAGTTACACATAACGTTACTCTGTTTGCAACTCATTCTGAGCTAAAGTTAAGGTTCAGTGAAAGTTTGAGATCCTGTGTGACTAGCAATTTTGAACAGTGCTTGTTAGAGTCCGAGCATGGTTTACTGGTTAACTACAGTGGGGAACCCTCTGGGCTTCAAAGAAGGCCTAATGATTTCTGTGAAATGAAAAAAATATATATAACTTTTTGTTTATTATTATTTAATATAATCATCATGTTTGTTGTTTTACACTGCCCAAGTATTGTAGCAATTCTCTTATTTCACTGTTAAGTTTCGGTTGAAAACAAAAGGATAAAACATCCATCATTCTGGAAGTCCTAGCCACATCACTGTCTGTGAGTGGTAGACTGACCAATGCCTTTTTTTTCAAATGTTAGAAATGGAAAACAGCCACTGCAGCTGTATGTGCTCTGAAAGAGTTACTGGAAAACTGCTATATACAAGGTAAAATATATGGTAATATGTTTGTATATGTTAATATGTGAGTGGCAGGTGACAGTCGGGGAGTGGCAGTGCCAGTTGGTGAATGGCAGGTGTTACTCTGCGAGGTGCCAGTAATTAAAACTGCAAAATATTAATTCTGTTCAAAGGATGTAAAAATGTAAAAGAACAAATGTCAACTGAAGCCTTGTTCAGACAGGATTCGTTTTACATGAGCGGGTGGGGTAGTGTAATTTTTACTGCTGTTTCTCAGTGAATTTAATCGCATTTGAATGCATCACATTCAAGTCATTTTTACAGGCTGCGCTCCCCTGCGTCAGTAAAGTTCAAGCCAAGTCAAGTCAAAGTTTATTTATATAGCTCTTTTTACAACAGGTGTTGTCACAAAGTAGCTTTACAGAAAAGTCCACGTCCAAGCCCCCAAGCCCCTGTTTCTAAAACACAATTTTCACACCAGTGAGTGAACAACTAAATCTGTCGGGGGGAGTGCACTTAGTTTTAGTTTGTTAGTAACTGACGAAGCTGCCTTTCTCATGCTATTGTTGCAGGGCTTGTAATTTATTGTTTACCTTTTGAAAACTTGTATATTTCTTTTTTATTGCTAGGTAAATTCATTTTTCACTGATTTTTATGACAAAGTGCCATCATTGGCCTACTATGGACCACTAGCCCCCATTTAGTCCACAGCCCTGTGGTAAAGAAACCTGCTTTAAAGCATTAAATGTACAACAAGGAGTCATAGTAACTTAGAGTTAGTTAGAGTTATGGGCTCAATAGAGATACATTGCTTAGGCAAATTATGAGATGGAGACGAATAAGTGAGCAAAGTAAATCAATTTAAGTGTTGGGGGACGGTTTAAAAGCTAATTAGACTTTTAAAAGATTTCACAGTAGGCTTAGAGGATGCAGCATATGTAGACTGCAAATGTAAATTTGTACTTGTTGATTTTATCATCAAATTATCACATTTAATACTTAGATCAGGTTTATGGCTGCACAAAGTGATTTACAGGTTGTCATGTAATGTTGGGAACTTGTGGTCTTTAGTCATCAAATACAGCCCATATCTCTGGGCTTTATTTTCAGAACACAGTTATATTAAAAAATGATACAGGGCAATTAATAACAGGACTTATGGTTTTAATGGAGATGCAGTTTTAGAATGAAATGAATGACAGTCTGCCAAAGACTCTGGAAGCTCAGAGTGGTTTCACGCGCTGAAGTGGGATGCATCCAAAGCAGAAGACTCTCCTTAGGAACTTCGAGACGCGAGAAAGGATCCTCCGCTTTTTCTTTGTTTTGGCTGTTGTGGTACCTACAGGGAGAGAACAAGGAGGAAATCAGTTCACAGAACTAGATAAATCTGGACAATATTAAACACAGAACATTATGAAATCTCAACAGGAATCGAGTGACTCACCATTAGGGCAGACAGGAATCTCCAATTCTTCAGCGTTCTCCATCAAGTCCACAGGGGCTTCAGTCACCTGGAAATGACATCACAAAAGTACATTAAGTCAATAATACAACATAAGAGACCAAACATTACATTAAGAGGGAGCAGATGAATGAATGAATTTGAGCATTTACCTGAACAGCAGGGGTGGAGCTTGACAAATCTGGTGAATCTTCCTGGGCAGATTCAGCAGGTATTCCCAGTAATCTGGCAGGTCTTTTTCCAGTCTGGAAGCTTTTGAGTGTTTCAGACCAATCATCGTCACTCAGATCACTGACGTCAGAATTTGCAGATCCGCCAAATTCTCTGATCAGTTCCTCAATTTCAGAAGGACTCAGTTCGCTGAGGACGGTGCTGCAGGACCGAGCACTCCTGTTTCTTGGAACAGGGTTCTCGATCTTTGTTTCTGACACATTAGTCCCGGAGTGCTGTTCTGAGTCTGGAGCTAAGGTATTAAAGGGGTCCTCTTGAACCTCAGGCAGGCCCAAGCCCAGTGATCTTCTCTCCACAGCGTCAGTGTCTGGGTACAAGCTTCTTGACTGAACACATTCCAGGGCGTAGTTAACGAAAGCTTTCAAGATGGCGTCAGCAATGTAACGGATAGTCCACTGGTCGACACAAGATGTTCCCTTCATCCAGCGACCATCTGAAAGGCTTTCACACGCTTCCCTAACAATGCAAGAAATGGCACTGTTCTCATCAGGGAAAAGCCGCCCACCAAGTACCCGGCAGGTAACTTTGATCCCAGCCAAAAGCTCCAGCTCCTCCATCAAATCATCAATTAGATGGTTGTAGAGAAAATACACAGGGAACCCAACATTAAAAGAAGACTCCAGCTCTTTGACCACCTCCTCAGCTGCCTCCTTGATGACTATGGGAGGCACAGTAAGAAGCTGAGAGTCACTGGAATCCTCACATGTATTTCCTTCCTCAACCTCCGCTGACGACTTGGACTGACTAACTGGAAAGCTGTTGTCCAGCGAGTCAACCAGACTAGGGCTGCTACCTGCCTCAAAGGCAGAAGGAGAAGACAGCTCCTCTACTTGGGACTGACCATCCTGATGTTTTTGCACAGGAGTGACCAGAAAATGAAGGTCACCTGTCATGGCCTGAGCTGGTGGTGGACAGCAACCTTTGATGGGTGGTAGAATGCTGGACGCCTGAGCATGTAGAGCCAAATCCAGAGCCTAGACAGAAAACAGCCAATGAGAAAACTGTTAACACAGGCATATAAGAGGATTCACCACAAATGTATTCTTTTCCACTGGTAGTAGCAATTAATCAAATTCCCAAACTTTAGTGCTCAATTAAAATCTATGGACAAACCTTTCTCTCCATTGGTTTCACACTGATGGGTGGTAGCTTGGGTAGGCTACTTGAATCCAAAGCTTTGAGCTCTCTCCTCATGGTGAAGTTTCGCTTTCCTCTCTAAAGACAGACATATATAATGAGATATGGATATTTTTTACAACAATCATTCTAACTTCTGGTGGTCAGACATCAGCCACTGAAAAGTCTGTTATCCTTTTGTAACAGTAAATCCACTAAATACTGGGAATTAATCATCAATGTGGCTGTTATTCTCTTTTTTTTGTCTTTTTTTATAGTTACTAAAAGGCACTTCATGCACTTTTATCCTACTGTTAACTGACAACAAATGAAATATTATCATACATAACTAGCAAATAATAAAAAACACAGCATGTGCCCCATGATATACATATTACTCGTGATAAACAACAGAAAGAAATATGATAAGCTTAGTAGAATAGATGAGTTTTACACATCTATAAAGTAACGCATATGTATGAAATGGTCATCACAATCTGAAAAGAAAAGATTATGTTCGTTCATTTACAAAACAACAGTGATATGTAAAGGTATATGGCACGAGGTCACGTGCGAAAACAAAGTTCTAAAGCTTATAATCTTTACAAAGCAATTGTTTCATTTTTTCATCAGTTTCATTCGTGGTTCGAATTAGTGATGATCATACCGACTCATTCGAACAAAATGAATCCATTGCTTTGATCTTCAGTTTCAAATCTCCGGCTTCACACGTGACCTCGTGCAATATAAGATCCATGTACAAAATAATCAAAGCTATAAGTTTAGAACAGAATCCAACACGCGGTGACACAATAACGTCCGTTTACAGCTCGTTCGAAATGGTCTCGAGTTCAAGGATTCAAATGAATCGATTCATTCTAAATGGTCTCGCTAGTTTCTATCATCCCTAATTCGAACGAGTCGATTCGACCGTCACTCCCTGTAAGATTCGGGTCCTGTTACAAGTTCTGACTCACCTTTTTGGTTTTGCGTTCCGAGTCCATTTTCGCGTCTTCCGCGCAGATCAGTAAAACGAGAAATGAAGAAATTCCCGTCAGTCTTCGCTTTTATAGCCCACTGTGAGTGTGGATGACGTCATAATACCGTTCGAAAGTATAGGTCACCATGGCAACAATATTAGGGCCAAAGTACATAACCATCAAATATCCAGGTCAAATTACATATTTAGTTAATTTTCTAGGTGAAAATAAGTTAAAACATCCTGTACAGAGAACACACTTCTGCATATTTTAATGCATTTATTTGGAAAATGTAACATATTGGGAAAAAATAAAACGTGGCAAAACGGCACATTTCATAAAGAATGCATATATATGCATATATATATATATATATATATATATATATATATAT